TTCTGAGCATGCTTCCAGCTCCACAGGAAAGGGTGCTCGATCTATTAGTGATGTCTGCCATGGACACCAATGTGGAGAGTAGAAATGTTCCTGCTGATTTAATTAGTAATGTCTGTCATAAACACGGATGTGGAGAGTGGAAGTAGTCTTTCTTGATTGATTAGTGATGTCTGCCATAGGCACAGCTATGGTAGTTGTTGGTGGTTATGTGCCGTGGAGTCGGAACCGACTCATAGTGACCCTGTACAGGGTTTCCGAGGCTGTATATCTTTACAGGAGCAGAACGCCTCATCTTTCTCCTGCGAAACAGCTAGTAGTTTCGAACTGCTAACCTTGCGGTTCACAGCCTAATTCGTAACCACTACGCTACCAGAGCTCCTTAGGCACAGCTATGGGGAATTAAAAGTATTCTTGCTCGATTGATTAGTGAGGTCTCTCCTAGGCATAGATGTTGTGAAGGGAAGTATTCTCAGTTGTTTAGTAATGTCTTGTCATGAACACAGATGTGAAGAATGGAAGTGGTCCGTGATTGATTAGTGATATCTGTCATAGGCACAGATCTGGAGAGTGAAAGTATTCTTGATTGATTAGTGATGTCTACCATGGGCACAGATGTTGTGAGGGGGGAAGTATTCTCGTCTGAATATTAAGGTCTGTCATAAACACAGATGTGGAGAGTGGAAATGTCTGTCATGAATGTGGAGAGTGGAAGTGGTCTTTCTTGAATGATTAGTAATGTCTCTCTTGGGCACAGATGTGGCGAGTGTACATGCTCCCATGGCTTGAGCAGTGCAGTGCCTCTTCTGCCTTTTGCCAGCTCAGACCTGGGCCCTGGTTGGGTTGTTTTGACATTCTCTCTTCTGGTTTCTTCCTGGTCAAGTGTTGGACAGCGCCAGCTAGTGTGCTTGGCTCGGGCCCTGCTGAGGAAGACCAAGATCCTGGTATTGGACGAAGCAACAGCAGCCGTGGACCTGGAGACGGACGACCTTATTCAGTCCACCATCCGGACCCAGTTTGACAACTGCACTGTCCTTACCATTGCTCACCGGCTCAACACCATCATGGACTACACAAGGTGACACCCTGACTGTGCCCCGTCCACCGGCTCGCTCGCACACTCACTCCTTCCACACCCTCCTCATGCTCAGTGACAGCCCGCCCCATTGGCCCTTCCCCAGGGGGCACCAGGTCTTCCTGACACCGTGATGGCTGCCTGCCCGCTGCTCCCCTGGCACTGCGTGGACCCTGAGACTCACAGTGCCCACATAGGGACCCCATAGCTTAGATGGGGGCAGACAGTACACGCAGTAGCAAGTCAAAGCAAGGATGTTTCAGAGAGTGGTGATTGCTGGCATGATAGTGAGGCACCGGGCCTCAGACCCCTGCTAAGTTAGGGCTCCAGAGGAATCTTTCAGTTCCTTTAAAATCAGAAGAAAGAACTGAATATATGGATTATCTTAATTAATGCCTTATTGTTGTGAGTCACAGCAACCCTACATAGGGTTTCCAAGGAGCGGCTAGTAGATTTGAACAGCTGACTTTGTAAGTTAGCTTATCCTAAAGTGCCAGTTAATGTCATATAAAGGGAGTTATTGTCCACAAAGAAAAAAATGCCTAGAGTCTAAGAAAAGCATCACATGACCCTGCTAACCAGGGAAAGGATCCCTGGTGGCACAGTGGTTAAGCACGCAATGGCAAATCGAACGATTGGTGGTGTGAACCCACCAGGCACTCTTCAGAAGAAAGATATGTGGCTGAGTGTGTCTGTAAAGATTGACAGCCTTGGAAAGCCTATGGGGCAACCCTGTTCTGTCCTGGGGGGGGTCACTGAGTCGGAATGGACGTGAAGACAACAGGAAAAAAAGTACCAAGGGATTGGGGTTTGAGTTCAAGCTGTCAGGTCAGGGAAGGCCTGAGAGGTAACAATGACAAGAAGGAGTTCTGTGGGGAGGTCTTACTTGAGGATCAGCACACTTTTTCTAAAAGTAAAGGATCAGAGAGCAGATGTTTTCAGCTTCGCAGGCCACATGATCTCCATCACTACTCAGTGTTGTAGCGCAAAGAAGCCACAGAGATGCGTGGTTGTGTTCCAGTAAAACTTTAGCCACAATTTTCCAGCATCTGATCTGGAGGAAGAAAGACCGTTCTAGGCAGAGGGCACAACCACAGGTAAAGGTCCTGATGTAGGAATGAGCTGGATTGGAAGGAGATCAGAAAGGTCAGTAGGGGCTGGATCTCGCAGGTAACAAGTTTGGGACTTAATTCCAGAAGAACCCAGAAGCCACTGGAGAGTGTTAAGGAGGGAAATGATAGGACACTTTTAAAGTAAGGCTGTTTGAGGAGCCCTGGTAGCATAGTGGATTGTGTGTTGGCCTGCTAACCACAAGATCAGCAGTTCAAATCTACCAGCCACCCCACAAGAGAAAAATGAGGCTTTCTGCTTCTGTAAAGGTTTACAGCCTAGGAAAGCCTATACAGGGTCGCCATGAGTCAGAACTGATTCGGTGGCACACCACCACCACCACCACCACCAAGGTTGTCTGGTGGCATAGCGATTAAGCACTCTACTGCAAACCAAAAGATTGGTGGTTTAAATCCACTAGCTGCTCTGCAGGAGAAAGATGAGGCCGTCTGCGTCCAGAAAGCTGGCCACCTTGGAACCCTGTTGGTTCAGTTCCATGGCAGTAGGCTGTAGTTGTGATCGTTGGATGGACACCACCTGTGCCAGGCGCTGCTGGCTTGTTAGAGTCCTGGGAGAGTTGTTGAAAGTGGTCAGAAGTGGGCAGGGCTGGATCCTCCCAAAGGAAGCCTGGTGGGACTGTGAGTTATGCGTTGGGCTGCTAACCGTGAACCCTGGCAGAAGATGCTGGAGGCCTGACCTAGAGCAGTGGCTTTCTCAAGTGATTCTTCCCTTCCCTTCACACCTGTGTGCCCTCTTCCTTCAGGGTCATTGTCCTGGACAGAGGGGAGATCCGAGAGTGCGGCCCTCCGGCTGACCTGTTGCAGCAGAGAGGCCTGTTCTATAGCATGGCCAAAGATGCTGGCTTGGTGTGAGCTCACAGCTGTCTCATCTGCTCAGAATTGCAGGCCCCACCTGCCACCATCCAGGACAAGTCAGAACCCTTGAGAACCCAAGAACTGAAACCAAAAAAGAGAAAACCCAAAAAAACCAAAGCACCACCCGCCTGGGATTGGCCATGCTGAGCAGGAGAGGTGTAGACCCCTCCCACCAGACACCTGCGTCCTCTGGCCCCTTGGAATGCTAACTTGTCACAGGGCTGTTTCCACAGGTGTGGTAGACAGACTTCTAGAGATGCTGATTGTATACAGTGTGCTAGTGACCAAATCCAGCCAACCGTCTCAGATCTCTCCAGTGGAAGGAAGTCTGTGGATTCCGAGTCTTCAGGAAGCTCTCAGCTCCCATCTGCTCCCCTCATCACCAGCTCCACCAAGAATGTGTCATTTCCTCAGGGCTACAGTTTTGAGGCAAAGGGCTGGGTGAAAATCCTTCTCACTGTTGGGCAATCCTAGGGGCCACTTAGACGTGGGGAACCGACATCTCCAAGCAGGGCACCGACATCTCCAAGCTGCCTCCAAGAGAGCTTCCTCAGAGGCCAGAGACGGCCTTCCTCACCCATGCACCTTCTTCTCACCAAGGAACTTGGCTGGAGTTAGAGATGACAGGGACCTGGCATAGCAGAGCCAGGAGGCCATCTCTTGATGCAGACTAACCAACTCAGTGCACCCTTTTCAGTCTTTCCCTGTGTTCTTCCTGCCTCGGTTGACTCATTGCTAGAATGGGTTTAGTGGTCCCTGAGAGATGCCGGTCTGCTAATGGTTATAATGTGATGAGCGGCACTAACCTCCCAAATACTATCCATTGGTACCAAAATGTTCCTTTGAGTCTTCCCTCCCTATTTCTATTTTTTTAAAAAAGATATATGATTTGGGAGAAAATTTACATAGCAAATTAGGTTTTCATTAATAATTTCTATACATATCAGTGACGCTGGTTACACTTTTCACAATTTGTCAGCATTTTTGTGATTTCCTTTCTGGTTGTTATGTTTTTATTCATCTAGTTTCCCTGTCCCCCGTACCTTTTCATCTTTGGCCAAGGGTAAATGTTGACCAGTAGGTCTCATTTAGATGATTGCCTAGAACAGCACACTACTTCTGGGTAATATTATTTATGCACTATTTAGTGTTTTGGCTGATAGGTGACCACCAGGAGTGGTGTGCTGGGGTAATAGGTTCAAACTGTAGTCTTTACTGACTCAGTAAACCTGACCCATTTTAAATTTGAGTTTTGTTCTACATTTTCCTCCCTTTATCTGGGACTGGCTATTAATGTTCCTGATCTGAATGGTCAGTAGTGGAGAAGCCGGGCACCATCTAGTTTTTCTAGTCTCAAGGTACCTTTCCTTGTATTTTAATTTCTCACCCTTGGATTGCGCTTACTGCCAAGGATGGCAGTGTAAGAACTTAATGATTTAGTTACTGAGCCTCTTCCAGGACAAGGAAAGCTCCCACTTAATGACTATCAGTGATGATATATATATATATTTATATATATATATATATATATATGTATATACACGATTTTGCTTGTTGTTGTTGTTGTTTTTTAAGTACCACTCCAAGGGAAGAAAACAGTCTTAAGAGTTTTACTTGGGTGGAGGAGGACATATGGGCAGAACAGCATTTCCAGGGTATAGCCAAGTTGGCCCTGCATCTGACAGTGTGTCTGTGGGTTCCTGGAAGAAAACGGAAATGTGGAGTCCTTCAAGGAGTGTCCCCTTGGGCCTCCTGGTTAATGGCCAAGGTGAGACCCAAAAAAGCAGAGGGGTCATGCTGCCCCACAGTTCAGACTTGTGGTGAACTATGTTGCCGACTTCAAATGCAGAGAAGCATCTTTCTTCTTTTAGGTGAAAATAATATATTTATTAATACTTTTTTTTTTTTTTTTGGGTAAATTATACCATTCTTTCACGTTAGAACGTTAGATAGGCCAAATTTTTCTTGGATATCTTTTTTTGTAATGACTTACACTGGAAACGTGAATATTTGCAAAACCAAACAAAGATTTTTGCAGTAAAAATATATTTTATTTCTTTCTAAATGACTGTTCCACTTTCTTTGGGGTCTTAGCGAAGGCTGCTCAACTCATCCCCCTGTGGCTGTCAAGGTGTCTGTAGGGGGAGCTGCCATCAGAGACAAGAAGTCTGGGGGTCAGGAGTTGGGGGTGGGGTTCAGTGGGGAGTCAGGCGGCAGGTGGACAGAGCCTGGGCTCTGTGGCTAGCCCTTGTCACATGCTGGCTCCATGCCTCGGTTCCTAAGCAAAGGGTGGGATTGTTGTATGATTTAGCAGTGATGTGTGTGGAACATGTGGTCAGTTTCTAAGGCACAGGTGAGGCATAAATGGCACGTAGCCATGGCTACCCTTGAAAAACCCCTTTATTTTGGGATAGGTTAGGCTATGCTGCAGTAACAATGTGAAATCTTGGTAAATGAACACAAGGGTTGATTGCCTGCTTGCTCATCCCATTTTTTATGAGGAACTTCCATTGCTGCGGGAGACAGATGCAGAGTGTTTGGGGCTTATGACGTCTTCAGATATCACCAGAGCTGGCTTCCTGGTCACCACAGCAAGGGGGAGAAGGTAGGTGACTCCCTTTCACTTTTAAGTCTCTTAAACCAGAAGTGACTTAATGCCACTCCTCTTCCATTGGCTAAATTCAGTCACATGGTCTCAGGCAAACCACAAAGACACTGGAAAATGTAAGGGAGCCTATGTCTTTAAGTGCCGTCAACTTGACTCCAACTCATAGCAACCCTGTATAGAGTTTCCAAGGAGCAGCTGGTGGGTTTGAACTGCCAACCTTGTACATGGTCCAGTACTGATCCTACAGCACTACACCAGGAGCGTATGGAAGACCAGTATTTCTCCCTATTCTGGCTTATTTGGTTTCTGAGTTCTAATGGGCAATGAGATGGGTATCTAAAAAAAAAATCTATGAGAGGGCTTCAAAAAGTTTGTGGAGGAAATAAATAGAATTAAGAAAGGAAAATTTCCGCAAACTTTTCTATTTGGTTTCTGAGTTCAAATTGGGTGAGTCTAGGTTAGTGAGGAAGGCCTGAAATTGGGAGCACACCTACCATTTCTGTCACATTCTGAAGCCATGTGCCAAGTGCAGTGTGCAGATGGAACATTCTAGCAGCACCCATTTTCCCTCCAGCACTGCCACCACTTCCCCCCCAACTATCCCCACCTCCGCCACTGAAACAGTTGGCATTAGGGCCAAGAAGTACAAAGACTGAGTAAAATGTAGCTGGTAAGCTAATTACCAAGAAGCTCTGGTAGCATACAGGATTACAAGCTGGGCTGCTAACCACAAGGTCAACAGTTCAAATCTACTAGTTGCTCCTTGGGAGAAAGATGAGGCTTTCCCATAAAGATGTACTGTCTTAGGAAACCCTATATGGGTCCACTATGAGTCAAAATCCATGGCACAACTATTTCAACCACCATCAAAGTTATTCCCAAAGGGAGGACTGAATCAACAGTACAGGTCCCCTTCCATGTGGGAGACTCCAGTTTGATTCCCAGCCAGTGTGCCTCAAGTACAGCTGACAGCCCTCTGTCACTGGAGACTTGCATGATGTTGATGCTGAACAGGATTCAACAAAGCTTCCAGAGCAAGTAGGAAGAAAGGCCTGGAGACCTCCTTTGAAAGCCAGTGATTTGTAGATCACAACTGCTGATCCCATTGTATTTGGGTCATTGCGTTAGGGGCAACTAAGCACCATGAGGAATCTGTACCTGGACCAAGAAGCAGTTGTTCGAACAGAACATGGGAACATAATGTTTTAAAATTAAGAAAGGTGTGCGACAAGGTTGTGTTCTTTCACCATACTTATTCAACCTGTATGCTGAGCAAATAATATGAGAAGCTGGGTTCTATGAAGAAAAACGTGGC